AGTTCCGAGGGAGGAATGGAGCAGGTCAGGGGTAGGTTGAGTCCCGACCTTTGATTGCACCAGCCTTAGGGAAGTCAGGGCCCCATTTTCCTTCCAGGCCCTTGGATGGGTATAGCTTGCCATGATTTCTAGGAATATCCATCCTTCAGCAATGTACTCCTGTTTAAAAGAGACATGTTTAAAGTAAGACATGGGATGGTAGTGAGGAGTTAGGTGCCCATCTTTGGGATTAGGAAACCGGTCCATTTCCCATGAGCAGCAATTCTGAGAACCCTGAGGTATAGAGTGTGAACTTTCTCTTCCAGTGTTTGTAGCTTGCAGCCTCAAGCTTGAATTGGGAACCTGGTGGATCGAGTCTGGCCTCATCTATGCCCCAAAGCATTAGATTTCCAAGTCTTCTCTCAACTTCTCCCTGGTTGTCTTCATTGTCCCTGGTCTTTCCCGCTCCCTCTGCCCCTCTTCTCCAGCCACAGAACAATAATCCATCATCGTTATCTCACTGGGTGTTTGCAGAGCACTCCACAGCCATTGTTGGAAGTTTTTCCTCTTATTTGCAAAGTACTTTACAGCTATTATTACAAGACTGTCCTCTCAGAGTAGACCCACTCTCCACTCTCCCAGGGTTGGAGTCCCACTGCTCCCCAGTGGGTGGACCAGTGCTTGTACTGGAGAGGGGTGGGACTGAGAGACAGGCTGTCACCAGCTGGAGCCATGGCTGGGCCCTCTGGGAAGTTACACCCTGTGCTTTTCCTGTGAAGGAGTAAGAGGTGCTGGCTTGGGGCTCACAAAATACTCATACACATAAAATAACCCCTTCTCCCCCAAAGTAAGTGCTAAGCATTCTTAGCATGGGAGTATATTTCTGTGTGAGACAGACATAAAATGCCCCCTCCCAAGGGGAGTGATGAGAGCTGTTTGGGGATCAGATTTCTTTGTTTCCAAACTCAGAACTTTAAAAATGAGTAGCTAGGATTTTGTAGACCGGTCCTTTCATGAAAAAAAAGCCCCCACCATCAGTCCAGCCAAAGCGGTCTTCCGTGGTCTCTGCTGCCACTACTCTACAGGACGCACCGCACGCTCTGGCTTTCCGTTTGCATGCCAGGGTCAGCATTTTGCTCTTCCATTACATGTCCTCCGTACTAATCATGGAAAGTCTCCACGCAGGGCCTGGAGGGATGGCTGGGCGGCGGCTGAGAGCACAAGTTGCTCTTGCAGAGGACTGGGGTCCGGTTCCCAGAACCCACATGGTAGCTCACAACCACCAGTACCTCTAGTTCCAGGGGGTCTAATGCCTTCTCCCCTTGCCAGTACCAGGCACACACACGGTACACATACATACACAGATACATACATGTAGGCAAAATACTCATACACATAAAATAAACAAATCTTTTTTAAAAATACAAATTTCACGTAACATTTCATTGAACTGGTTGGGTAGAAAGATTTTGCGATGGAATATGTACACAGGTATGCCTGGCTAGGCATCTTGAGGAAACATGGTCTTTGCTTCCTGCCCGGTTCCCTCTTTTGACTCCTGAGTTACACTGACAGGTCTATCTGGGTTGGACTTCCACATTTCCTATCCTAGACCAATGGTACCCGCCATGAATCCCATACTCCCTCGAGAGTTCTGAAAATGGAATGAGTCATCTTGCCACTCACTTATTGATTTTCAGGCCCGGTTTGTTAAACTAGGTCGTTAGCATTCCGAGAGCAGGGCACCCTCTTAGCTCCTGTGGCATCTGTGTTGTCCTGCTTAAGTCACAGGTGTTTGGCAAATATTTGTGGGTGACAAATACATATTTGCCGATGCCTGGTGGCTTTATCTGGGTAGGAAAACAGTTGCTAGAATGCATAACCTGAGCTGTACCTCCATGAGTTTCCCAGGTCAACCTTTGTGTTGAGGCCTCAGAGCAGGGAAGGGTAAGTGAGTAGCAGAGAGGACGTACTTACAGATGCTATTAATTCCCTCCATAATGTATGCACAACGTGTAATGTACTAGGAGTGAAGAAAAGCAGGGATCTTCCCTCTCAGAAACAGCAACAGATCGCAGGGGATGAGGGTTCACTCTGGAGTTTAAATGAACCAGAGTGAGAGAGAAACTGGTGTGAGCATCTTGACCCGTTGGAGAGGCACACTGAGACATTACTGAGCTTGAATGACAGACAGGTTCTTAGGTTTCCTTCTATAGTAGAGGTCTAGGTGAGGTGAGATGGTTCACAAATCGCCAGAAGCAGGTTGATGGTTAAATAGGAATGTGTTTTATACTCTGCCATCTTTGGGATGTAACTTTTTCAAGGCAAAGAAAAACCATCCAAGGGTGGCCATAGGTTTGGACTAGACCGATGAACCAAGTCCTCTCTCCCATGGTGCGATTTAACTTAAGGGCTGTGGCCTTGCTTCAATCTTGAGGTTCTACTGCCATCTAGTGTTCATGGCAAACGAAGGGCTGCCACTGCCAGTTCCGGGCCCTGCTGGATATTGGCTCTAGGAACTCCTGGCCTTTCTACTGCTCTCAGAGAGCTTGGGAAGAAAAAGCAAGGCTGACAGACCACCGGCAAGGTGCTGGTGATTGTGGTCATGGTGGTGGCCCGGCAGGGAGCAAACCATGGACAAGAGTCACCTCTGGAGGCAGGTGACCTTGATGAAGGGCCTTCAGTGTGACACAGGTGTAAAAATAGCCTCTCCGTGCTGGCTTTCCTTAACTCCCTGGCCTGAGTAAACAGCCCCTCACACCTGTACCATTGTTTGCTCGGTATGGACACACTACTACCAGTTTGCAGGTGTAAATGACTCTTTGTATACCCAGAGTTATGGGAGGGCACCCTACCCTCTTCCAGCCAATGTTCCCTTAGAGCTGATTACTGAACAGCAAAGCTGACCGTGTAGCCTTAAACCCTGGGGCTGGGGCCTGAAGGAGGGATGGACCTTTAATCCTGCCCTCTAAGGGGTACCGATGGCTTCCCCAGAGAAGAAACTCAGCATTGCCTGGTATCAGGACAAGGGCAATCCGGAGACCAAGGTAGCTATTGCTTAGGGACAGAAAACTTAGATGGCATGAGGCAGAGAGACTTCTGGAAGTTTTAAAGCAGGCTTTATAGAGGTCAAAGGGAGTGAGGAAACCAAACCTACCCCTCTCACTCAGGCAAGGAGAAGGGACATGAGGGGTTCACCAACTGTCGAGTTCTACGGACATGGAAGAGAAAGGAAGGGCTTAGTGATGAAGGGGTGACAGATGAAAGCAGCCTTCTCGGGGAGGGCTGACACTCCCGTCTGCTGGGCTCCAAGGTGCAGTGGATTAAATTAGGTGTCTTCATTGTCTGTGCCATATACAAGGAAAAATGGCAAACCATAACATAAGGCCATGCATATGTGTTAAAAGTAGTATGCTGGTTTCATTTCTGTTGCTGTGATAAAATACTCTGACCCCCCCCCCCCAAAGAAAAATGGAGACGAGAGAGGGGGTTTATTTTAGGTTACAGTTCCGGGTTGCAGTCCATCACTGTAGGGAGCCACAGCAGCAGGAGCTTGAGGCACACCCACAGTCAGGAGCAGAGAGAAATCAAAGCATGCATCCACGCATGCTTGCCTGCTTGCTTGCGCTCCTTTCCTTTGCTCTTGAACAGTTCAGAAGTCCTTGCCCAGGGAATGGTGCTGCCCACATTAAGCAGGGTCTTTCCGTATCAGTGAACTTAATCAGACAATGCACATGCTCACAGCCCATTCCAGGTAGGCCTTCCCTCACGGGGACTCTTTTCTGGGGTAATTCTAGTTGATAATAGTTCTGAGGTGTCAAGTTGACAGTTACATCTAACCGCCACAAGCAGGAAAACTAAGTGACCGATAAGTTTAAGAATGTAAATAGAACGCTAGTCTCTGTGACCTAGAAACTCTCCTTCTAGGGTAGTACTCAGAGTGATAGCCAGAAACTCATCACGGGTTTACCTACAAAGAGACCAGTGTTTACAAAACAAACATGGGAAACTAGACAGAGATTCAGCAGTTACTGAAAAGCGTAAGTGAGAGGGGACACATTGCAATGACAGGCTATTCCACTGTGCTGAAATGCGTTTATAATACATTTCTAATGTGGTAACACATTAGGACGTTAAGCAAACAAAGCAAGATAGGATGGCCGTATCGCTTGACCTCAACGAGGCAAAAAGTATGTGTCAACACAGAAAGTCTTACAAAGGATAGAATGAAGTAACATGCTCACAACACTGGTTGTGACCTGTATTTTCTTTACATGTTTTAACACTAATTATCCTCTAATATAAATATGTTTACCCAAAGGGAAAAATAATCCATATAAAGTTTTGTTTTGTTTTGTTTGGTTGGTTTTTTTTTTTTTTTGCATTTATTATGACTGCAATACCCAGAGAAGCTGCTTAACAGAAGACAGAGTTATTTTAGCTTATGATTTCGTAGGGATTCAGTCTGTGGTGAGGGAGGCAGGCAGAGTGGGTGGATTGACAGCATGCTGTGGAGGTTTCTCGGAGTGCAGTAGACCAGAAGGCAGGCAGAACAGGAAAGGACCAAGGGGCCCGCTAGAACCTTGAGTGATCGACTTCTGCCAACCAGGCCCCACCTCCCAGCTGGGTTCCACAGTCTCTCCAAATAGTGCCGCCAGCTGGGGAACAGGTGTGCAAAACATGAGCCTGTGGGGACATTTCATGTTCAAATCATCACACAGTCATACTTTTGAAAAAGGAAAATGAAGAAAAGGTTCTGAGTAGGTTAGGTGGATGCCATGAAGGCACTAGAGGCAAGATCTGGACTCACAAGTGTCCCCTCTAGCCTAGGCAGCTGATGATACTTCCTCAGTCAGCTCTGCTGCATCTGGATGGCAGAGTGGAACCCACTCACTTTGCAGTCCTGACCAAGGAAGGATGAATCTCCCGGGGAGACATCTAGCCCTGCTTTCTAGGTGAAAGATCTCCGAGCAAAACAAAGAAGGAATAATGTGTGTCCTTTCTCCCGTGTTTCCCCCCAGTAGATATGTTTGATGACTTCTCAGAAGGCAGAGAGTGTGTCAATTGTGGGGCCATGTCCACCCCACTCTGGAGGCGAGATGGGACAGGACACTACCTGTGCAATGCCTGTGGCCTCTACCACAAGATGAACGGCATCAACCGACCCCTCATTAAGCCTCAGCGCCGGCTGGTAAGCAAGCATCCCTGTGACTCAGGCCCACCAGCCTGGAGAGCACCCAGCTTCGACCCTCCTCTCTGTACCTGGCTTTGCGACTCTTGCCCAGCTTTAAATTTTGGAACTGGAGGATCTGAGCTGAGGGGTTAGGTAGGTGGGAGGAAGCAGGGAGCTTCTCACACCTTTAGAGTGAGCTTGGGCTTGCTTCAAAGACACAGGCCCAGCTATTACAACCCCATCACCATGCAATAGTAGAAAATGAAGCTCAGAGAGGTGAGTGGCCCCAGCCAGAGGGAGCCAGATCCAGGCCTCCCGATCTCCAGTCCAGTCCCTTTGTCTTGAAGACCAACATAAACCAGAAGTTGTCTTATTTTCAGTTGATCCCCTAGAAAGACCCAGAGTCCAAGAAGGCTGAGCAGTGGGTTTGGGTCCTGGCTGGGGAGGCCTGGAACTGGGACCAGACATTTGCTGTCTGTGCCTCTTTTTTTTTTTTCCACCTGACTCTGACCGATACTGACCTACTTTGGTGTATGACAGGGAAGGGGACTAGAGAGAGAAATCTTGAAGCTTCCTCTTTAAGGCCCATCAAGTTCCTCACTCTACACACAGACACTGGCATCAATGAGCTCCACCTTGGGGAAGAGATGCTCTGTTGACAGTGTCCAGGTCATTCATGCTGTACCCTGGGGTCCCTCTCTGTTTGGCTCCCATCTGTTCCTGTGAGCGGTCTGGATACCCAGAGACAGTGCCAAGACTGGCCTGAGGGATCACATGAGACCATTCTGGCGTAGCCCTGCTAGACACAAAACACTTCCTTTCTGTCTATGTTGTAGTCCGCTTCCCGCCGGGTAGGCCTCTCCTGTGCCAACTGCCAGACTACCACCACCACGCTGTGGCGCCGCAATGCCGAGGGTGAACCTGTGTGCAATGCCTGCGGCCTCTACATGAAGCTCCATGGGGTGAGTGGATGCCCTGCTCTGCCCTGCTCTGCCCTGCCTGTGCCCTCTCATGCCCTCAGCTCTGCCTGATGGGAGTCTCCTCCATTTCCATTCTGCAGGTCTCGTTGGTTGTTTTTGCTCTTTTGGGAGGCCCGCCACCCAGCTCCCAAATAAATCACACATAGAGGCTTATTCTTAATTATAAATGCCTGGCCTTAGCTTGGCTTGTTTCTAGCCAGCTTTCCTTAACTGTAAATAATCCTGTCTATTTTTGGCCTTGGAGCCTTTATCTTTCCCTATTCCTGTATATCTTTTTACTTCTTACTCCATGTCTGGCTGTGCAGCTGGATGGCTGGATGGCTGGGTAGCTGGGTGGCTGGTGCCTGAAGTCCTCCTCCTTTCTCTCTGGTTCTTTGATCTTCCTTCCCCGCCCCCAGATGTCTCCTTCTATTTATCCTCTCTGCTTGCCAGCCCCACCTATCCTTTCCCCTGCCTTGCTATTGGCCATTCAGCTCTTTATTAGACTATCAGGTGGTTTAGACAGGCAAAGTAACACAGCTTCACAGAGTTAAATGCAACATAAAAGAATACAACACATCTTTACATCATTAAACAAATGTTTCACAGCATAAATGAATGCAACACATCT